TTTCTCTGAGTCTTCAATCTAAATAAGTTTAATAAACCCACAGAAAAAGCTTTGAGTGATAAATCATACGAATACAACAAATAAATCAACTCAGGCATTAAAAAACTGTGGCAAGGAACCAACAAATCACATTTAAATATCAATCATAACATAAACAAACGATATGCATACATATATATATAAGAAATAATTACCGCAGTGATCCTAGAATTTTTAGCACGGTTAATAATAGACGAACTTGTAAGACAAATAAACATATACTAAGATAGAAACTGCCCACTCCCACTCGAGAAATCTTGCGCCTGCGTAGTCAGTCTGTAAACAGCTTCTAAAACTAGTTTTTCACAATACGTTCTGTACAGATCCGCAGGGAGAACTCAGGAATTCACAGGGGCATCAAATAGACTTCATAGACTTAATAGTAAAAATTATTTGAAATTAAAATTAATTTTATTCATTCTGATCACACAAAGAAGGGTACCATTGTTGAGAGGAAACGAAACTTTTGCAAACGAACGAAATTTTTTGTGAATGATGGTGTCGTTTAGAGAAAAAAACGAACGATGGACAAACGATTGTTCAGACTCAGAGAAAATAAAAAAACCAGCGTTTTTTAAAAACAATGAGAAAAAAAAATGTTCAACAGATTTTCACAAAGATTTTTACTGAACAAAAGATTTTTTCAGACAAACTTTTGAAAAAACTATGATTTTACTGAGAAAACGAAAGAAACAGATAAAAAATTAACGACATTTTTGAGAACGAACAAAATCTAATTGTTTTTAAACGATTGAAATAAAGGAAATAGGTCGTTTACAAACGATGAGCAAACGAACGTGCTCATTTCTAATTATAGGGATACTCTGTGTTAGAATTTGGGTTAAAGTCGTTTAAGTTAATATATATAGATATAGTCGGCCATTTAAATCAATTTTAAAATTTTGGCGGATTTTCTTTTTTAATTGGCGCATTTCCAAAATAGTCCAACTATTTTCCAGGAAATTTCTTTTTCCAATTTTGGTGTTCTACCTTCACCCTTCCCTGGGATCATGTGAGGTCCCACACAAAATTTGGGCCCGATCGGTGCAACCGTTTTGACGCTTATATAGGTTACAAACAAACAAACAGACAAGCAATGTATATATATGTAAAATAGAGTTTGCGGTTTAAAACAACTGAATCTTAACCAACAATGTTGACAGAATTTTTCAATTTCCCAAGGCGGTTAACCTTTAAATAGAAAACCTTAAACTTAATTTAATTTAAAATTAGAGTTAGCATAAAAAAAATGGGTTGGAAAAATGTGAAGTCGTGTAAAAGATCGAAAAAATGGTGTTTAATGTTTCTCTGAAATTTTAATATCATAGAAAACCCGCTAGAATAAATGTCAATCATTTTTTAATAAAGATTTTCAAGAGTATATTATGTTTCCTCAGTTTATGGTTTTCAACAATGTTTACACAGTTCTTGTTTACAGAACATTAACTAGGGGTATTCTCCATTCATTATATCTGAAGGGGGGTTCTCCATTAATAAGAGTAAATGGGGGTTCTCCATTAATTAGAGTTAAAGAGGGTTCTCCATTAATTAAAGTTAAAGGGGGTTCTCCATTAATTAAAGTTAAAGGGGGTTCTCCATTCATTAAAGCTGAAGGGGGGTTCTCCATTAATTAAAGCTGAAGGGGGGTTCTCCATTAATTAAAGCTGAAGGGGTATTCTCCATTCATTAAAGCTGAAGGGGGGTTCTTCATAATTTAGAGTTACAGGGGGTTCTTCATGAATTAGAATTAAAGGGGGTTCTCCATTAATTAGAGCTGAAGGGGGATTCTCCATTAATTAAAGCTGAAGGGGGGTTCTCCATTAATTAAAGTTAATGGGGGCTCTTCATTAATTAAAGCTAAAGGGGGGTTCCTCATTAATTAGAGTTAATGGGGGTTCTTCATTAATTAAAGCTGAAGGGGTATTCTCCATTGATTAGAGTTAATGGGGGTTCTCCATTAATTAAAGCTGAAGGGGGTTCTTCATTAATTAGAGTTAATGGGGGTTCTCCATTAATTAAAGCTGAAGGGGGGTTCTCCATTCATTAAAGCTGAAGGGGTATTCTCCATTAATTAAAGCTGAAGGGGGGTTCTTCATTAATTAAAGTTAAAGGGGGTTCTCCATTAATTAAAGTTAAAGGTGGTTCTCCATTAATTAAAGTTAAAGGGGGTTCTCCATTTATTAGAGCTGAAGGGGGGTTCTCCATTAATTAAAGCTGAAGGGGGGTTCTCCATTAATTAAAGCTGAAGGGGGGTTCTCCATTCATTAAAGCTGAAGGGGGGTTCTTCATTATTTAGAGTTACAGGGGATTATTCATGAATTAGAATTAAAGGGGGTTCTCCATTAATTAGAGCTGAAGGGGGATTCTCCATTAATTAAAGCTGAAGGGGGGTTCTTCATTAATTAAAGTTAATGGGGGTTCTTCATTAATTAAAGCTGAAGGGGGGTTCTTCATTAATTAGAGTTAATGGGGGTTCTCCATTAATTAAAGCTGAAGGGGGGTTCTTCATTAATTAGAGTTAATGGGGGTTCTCCATTAATTAAAGCTAAAGGGGTGTTCTTCATTAATTAGAGTTATAGGGGGGGGGGTTCTCCATTTATTGAATATTCTCCACTAATTAAAGTTAAAGGGGGTTATAGCTTGGAAACCCAGCTTTTTCTGGCAACTAAACTTATCCAAAAAATGTGAACCCATGCAATTTGAGGCAAATTGGTCAAGGGGTTCATAAGTTATGATCATACATACAAACAAACAAAGAGAGATTACTACTTTATATATAGAGATACTAGCTTGGGAACCCAGCTTTGCCCAGGTTACTCAAAGTTACTCCCACCGTTTACCCGCACTTGGTTGATTTTTATGTGTTTCTTTAGAAAACTGAACTTTCCCTTATATAGAGTAATAGCTGTAATTTTTCTGAAAGCCAAGCTTTCCATTTAATATCGTCGATCCTCTAATTATACCAATTTTTGAGATTAAGATATTTTCGGGAATTAATAAAATATAGGATAACTTATTATTCTAGTGCTAGAGAGTAGGGTTGGGATTTGTTTAAAAACGATCTTAATTCTACAATTACGAAATAAAACAGTCAGCTTGAAAACAAATATTCAAATGCTCAAATTGTTGCTAGAAGAGGGAAGAGAAAATGACGCAGTTATTGAGCAACAATTTAAAGATAAAATTGACGTTAGAAATTAAAGATTTCAGACATGATTAATTTTGTTTATAAAAACAGAGCTGAGCTGAAAACTTTAGAATGGTGGATATCGGGATTAATGCTTGATCCTCTCTTTTTGATAATCTCAAGATTAACATAATCTTGCAAGATTATCTTAAAAGTGTATGAAAAACAATAAAATTCAAATTAGTATTTAATCATCTGAGAAACTGTAGCAGCCAATCAGAGAAAAGCAGGCAACCAATGAGAGAACAGAAATATTCTCATTGGAGAAAACAATTAACGGATATCCAAGGAGAGAGAAAAAGAGTGGCTTAGGACAAAAATGAAAAGTTTCCACAGTGGATATTCGGATCAAGAAGTCAGGATTAAAGATATCGGGATTAATGCTTGATCCACTCTTTTTCTTGATCTCCAGATTAAATATTGCTTGTTCTCCTCATGAACTTAATATCACGATTAATTAACAGATCGGGATTAAGGATATCACATTCTAAAGTTTTCAGCTCAGGAAGATTTTGCAAATCGCAATAATAATCTTTTCTTTTTCAGAAGAATGTTTTCCTTTTCTTTAGTTGGCAGTATGTCTCTTCATTTGATGATTAGGTAATTATTGTTTTTCAATTTAATTAGATCAATAATTTTTTATATGAATTATGACAAATTTTACTAATATTTTGCAAAATCATAAAAAAATAAAAATACAAAAGTTATTGTAAAAATCAATACAACTTAATAAATAATATAATTGATTTTTATCCAATCAACGTTTTATTCGAAGACCAAACAACTAAAAACAAATTTGTATGTTTTTATTTTGTTTTGTATACAGTATTAAAATAAACTAACAAAAACTGTTAAAACTTGGAGGGGTCTAAAAACATTATATGATTTAATCCTCCATTGAAAAGTCTTAAATTATCTCGATTCCCTTTATTGCCTGTGCTGAATGAATACAGTCCCTTATACAGATATTCCACAATCGTAAGAAAGCTAGAAAAAGAATGACATATGATTTACCCTTGATCAGAGAACAGTTTAACGGATACATTTGGAAATAGAAACTGTCACTCCGTTGGGTCAAATGTAACGTCTACATCTATATCACGTCTACGTCACGTCTACGTTAGTTTGAAGTTAGTTTGAAGTTGATTTGAAGTTAGTTTGAAGTTAGTTTGAAGTTAATTTGAAATTAGTTTGAAGTTAGTTTGAAGTTAGTTTGAAGTTAGTTTGAAATTAGTTTGAAGTTAGTTTGAAGTTAGTTTGAGGTTAGTTTGAAGTTAGTTTGAAGTTAGTCTGCAGTTAGTTTGAAGTTAATTTGAAATTAGTTTGAAGTTAGTATGAGGTTAGGTTGAGGTCGGCTTAAAGTTAGTTTGAGGTTAATTTGAAGTTAGTTTGAGGTTAGTTTGAAGTTAGTTTGAAGTTAGTTTGAAGTTAGTTTGTAGTTAGTTTGAGGTTAGTTTGAGGATAGTTTGAGGTTAATTTGAAGTTAGTTTGAGGATAGCTTGAAGTTTGTTTGAAGTTAGTTTTAAGTTAGTTTGAGGTTAGATTGAAGTTAGTTTGAGGTTAGTTTGAAGTTAGTTTAAAATTAGTTTGAAGTTAGTTTGAGGTTATTTTGAAGTTAGTTTGAAGTTAGTTTGAAGTTAGTTTGAAGTTAGTTTGAAGTTAGTTTGAAGTTAGTTTGAAGTTAGTTTGAAGTTAGCTTGCAGTTAGTTTGAAGTTAGTTTGAAGTTAGTTTGAAGTTAGTTTGAAGTTAGTTAAGATTAGTTTAAGGTTAGTTTAAAGTTAGGTTGGAGTTAATTCAAGTTAGTTTGAAGTTAGTTTGAGGTTAGTTTGAGGTTAGTTTGAGGTTAGTTTGAAGTTAGTTTGAAGTCAGTTTGAAGTCAGTTCAAGTTAGTTTGAATTCAGTTTGAAGTTAGTTTGAAGTTAATTTCAAGTTAGTTTAAAGTTAGTTTCAAACTCTGATTTTTAAATCGATATATCTATGCAACCCAAGTTTCAAGACTAAAGATATATCAAACTAAGAATACGAATAGATTAGATAATCTCAGTTTGAAATATCAAAGGTTTCCACCATCAGGTTGCAAAGATTTAGTTATTGGAAAATTTGAGTTTGCGGCAAAGGCTTGATTCCTTTGTGCAACTTTTAGAAAATTTCAGTAATATTTATAATTTTTATCTAGCTGAGGATGGTAGGTATGGAGTCTCCTAGGTGGGTTTGGAGGTAATAAAAAATTAATTTTGAAAAATTTAAGTAAAAAAATATTATCAAAAAAATTATTCAAAGGTTAAATCTTATCAAATACATAAAGATGAACAAAAACATGAACATGAACATTAACATGAACATGAACATGAATATGAACATGAACATGAACATGAGCATAAACATGAACATGAACATGAACATGAATAGGAGTAGAGAAGGAAAAAGAATTGCTGAACCTATCCTGGAAGAGTATCCTACTAGATATGTAAGTATCGATCAATCAATCAATCAATCAATCTACTTTCTATCTATCTATCTATTTATCTATTTATGTATTATTTATGTACTATGTATGTTCTATGTATGTTCTATTTATGAACTATGTATGTACTATGTATGTACTATGTATGTACTATGTATGAACTATGTATGTACTATGTATGTACTATGTATGTACTATGTATGAACTATGTATGTACTATGTATGTAATATGTATGCACTATGTATGTACTATGTATGTACTATGTGTGTACTATGTATGTACAATGTATGTACTATGTATGTACTATGTATGTACTATGTATGTACTATGCATGTACTATGTATGTACTATTTATGTATTATTTATGTACTATGTATGTTCTATGTATTATTTATGTATTATGTATGTACTATGTATGTTCTATGTATGTTCTATTTATGTACTATGTATGTACTATGTATGTACTATGTATGTACTATGTATGTACTATGTATGTACTATGTATGTACTATGTATGTACTATGTATGTACTATGTATGTACTATTTATGTACTATTTATGTACTATGTATGTACAATGTATGTACTATGTATGTTCTATGTATGAACTATGCATGTATGAATTGTGTACTATGTATGTACTATGTATGTACTATGTACAGAGATTTTAATTTTATTTTGTTTTAACCATGTGTGAGTTTTTAACCATTAAGAAGTGAGGTATTTCATATTATGACCATAAATCAGCAATATGCTGCAAAATATTTATATCAAGAGGATAGAGTGAAAAGAGTTTTGCGTTGGAGGGGGCATCAAAGGGACTGTACATGTTGGAGGGGCATCAAAGGGACTGTACATGTTGGAGGGGATATCAAAGGGACTGTACATGTTGGAAGGGGCATCAAAGGGACTGTACATGTTGGAGGGGGCATCAAAGGGACTGTACATGTTGGAGGGGACATCAAAGATACTGTACATGTTGGAGGGGCCATAAAAGGGACTGTACATGTTGGAGGGGGCATAAAGGGACTGTACATGTTGGAGGGGGCATCAAAGGGACTGTACATGTTGGAGGGAGCATCAAAGGGATTGTACATGTTGGAGGGGCATCAAAGGGACTGTACCTGTTGGAGTGGGCATCAAATGGACTGTACATGTTGGAGGGGCCATAAAAGGGACTGTACATGTTGGAGGGGGCATCAAAGGGACTGTACATGTTGGAGGGGACATCAAAGGGACTGTACATGCTGGAGGGGGCATCAAAGGGACTGGACATGTTGGAGGGGGCATCAAAGGGACTCTACATGTTGGAGGGGACATCAAAGGGACTGTACATGTTGGAAGGGGCATCAAAGGGACTGGACATGTTGGAGGGGGCATCAAAGGGACTGTACATGTTGGAGGGGACATCAAAGGGACTGTACATGTTGGAAGGGGCATCAAAGGGACTGTACATGTTGGAGGGGGCATCAAAAGGACTGTACATGTAGGAGGGGACATCAAAGGGACTGTACATGTTGGAGGGGACATCAAAGGGACTGTACATGTTGGAGGGAACATTAAAGGGACTGTACATGTGATTTCAAGCGATCATCTGTTTTCACGTGCAAAATCAGGAAGTTCCTTCTTGCAAAATAATTACATTTTTGCACATTTTTTGACAAAATTCCTAAAATCATAGTTCGCTTAAAATTGATAAAGTTAGACATGAAAGTTATGTAATTTAAAAAAAATAGTTTTATTTAATAATTTGTGGTCTGCAAAATTGTTTGCAACCTTGGAAAAAAGGATGTTTTCATTCATAATTTGTAGAATCATTAAACTTTGAGTTTTATGTTTGATGACTCATAACATGTTATGAATATAAATACATTTCTTACATGACCCTATATGTTTTGTATTACTTAAAAAGTGTATTTTTCTTAAAAATAACTTTAAAAAGTTACTAAATGATTTGAGTTGAAACTGATAACTGCTTTATTTTGAAGCCACCAATACTTTCATCATCCCTTAGATACTAATAAATTAGCACAAGTGGTGGTGGTGCAGGACCATAGCCCCCACTCCCTGTATACGCCTCTCTGGTTCTATCTATATCTAGGGGAGGAAGAGAGTTTGGATTAGGAGTTTATGTTACTGGAGTAGATGTGGACTCAGTAGCTCAGATTCTTGGATTACAGGTATATTCATTCATTCATTCATTCATTTATCCATCCTTCCTTTCATTCATCCATTCATCTATTCATCCTTTTATTAATTCATTTATTTATTCATTCACCCTTTCATCCTTCCTTTAATTTTTGCTTGAATTCACCCTTTAAATCATTCATTCAATGCATTCATTCATTCAGCCTTTCATTCATTCTTTCATTTATCCTTTCAGTCATCCATTCATTTAAATGAATGCCTTAGGATAATTCCTAATACTATGTTAAGGAAGGGGACCTACTGCTTGACGTAAATGGAAAACCATTCCATTCTATTCTGCATCAGGTCAGTTATAATATTCCATTCTATTCTTCATCAGGTCAGTTATAATATTCCATTCTATTCTGCATCAGGTCAGTTAGCAAAGAAATTTGGTTTTATAATAATTGGAAAGACGACATTTATAATTATTTCTATGTGCACAATTTAAAGCATTATTTGTGCATTACGTTTTTTTTAATACTGTAATAATGTATTTTTAAATGTTAGATAATTTGTGCAAAATAATAAAAATCTGACTCTAAGCATGATTTCAAGTGACCCTCCATGCAAAGATGGCAATGCTTAATTTTTAACAGTACTCTTAGAAGCTCTTAAGGGTACCGTTGTAAATCAGGCACTGCAATCTTTACAGAAAGGGACACATGAAATTACGCATACGTTCCCTTTAACACATAACCATTATCCTTAGGATGGTTGTTAATTTTTGAGAATTTCATTTTCCCTAAAGTTTATCTTTCTTGTTTAAACAATATGGTTGTACATTTTTACCCTGTACAATGTACATTAGGATGCTGTTGATTTTCTGCTTGGCTGCAGTACACTGCTTGCAGTAACATACCAGGTACATGCATGATCCGAGCCGGTACAAGGATTTACTCTACTTGTCTATTTGTACTATATATTCATTTACTCGTTCCCTAAGTTTAGCTTCAGTTTACCCCAGAACTTCTAAGACATCGAAAGTGTTCATAAAATGTCGTTTTCTTAACCTACCGATAATGAACTGCCGTAGGTATTTTAATTGTTAATTGAATAATTATACGGAGCTCTTTAAAACTCTTTCCACATATTTCATGAATATTTATTTATTTGTACAAAAAAAAATATAATAATCATGCAGGAAAAATACTGTCCTTATTAAAAAACTGTCAAGACAACATTTTTATAAATTCTTTCGATGTGTCCGAAACTATGGGTTAAACTGTAATAATTGAACTTTTTTTTAATTGGCTAATCATTTTTTCCTTCTTTAACAATTTGAAACTTTAAACGGAACAAACAGAAGATGCTACAGTGGTAGGCAATTATTTCAATTTTTATATAAATCAAGCAGTTCAACAAAGAAGCCAAAAGAAGCTAAAACGACCAAGCTAATATTGCTTGATTCACTTCTACAAGAGAAGAAAAATGGTGGCCAAGGCTAAGCCCGGAAAGCAGTCCCTGAAGGGAAAGAAGGGAGGAATTAAGAAGCTTAGCAAGAAGAACCAGATCAAGCTGGTCATTGACTGCAATCCCCCCGTTGGGGATGGAATCATGAACTGTGCTGATTTCGAGAAGTATCTTTAAGAGAGGATTAAGGTCGGTGGTAAGACCAGCAACTTCGGTTTTGATTTAGTTCTGGAGAGAGCTAAGACCAAGATCAATCTCACTTATAAAGTCCCCTTCTCCAAGAGGTATCTGAAGTACTTGACCAAGAAGTACTTGAAGAAGAACAACCTGAGGGACTGGCTGCGTGTGGTCGCCTCCACCAAGGACTCCTACGAGCTCCGTTACTTCCAGATCAACAACGAGGAATCTGACAACGAGGAGGAGGACAACAAATAAACCTTGAACCGCTCCCACTTCTAACGTCCTGATAATTATTTCTAACAGTTAAAAAAGCTTCTCTTTGATTACTTGAAAAAAAAGGTTGTTAACATTTAAAAATTAAATGAAAAGTCATCTTCATTGTATTGATATTATCGCTTACCACTGTACGAAAATGTTTAATCACTGTTAACGATTGTTATTTGAGCTGTTCTTTCATTATCATCATTATCATCATTATCATCATTATCATCATTATCATCATTATCATCATTATCATCATTATCATCATTATCATCTTTATCATCATTTTTGCCAAGTTTTAGATGAGCAGTGTCTGTACAGTGTGAACTCCAAGGGTAGACTGAAGTCTGGAAAACTTGAAATTAATGAAACTTTCAGACGCCACCAGGATAATCCAGGTTGGTTTAAACTATTTACATTCTCAAAAAATCAGTTTACATTACATGAGTGGCATCCCCGATTAACAACAATACTCTTTAAACCTTTGACAAATTAAGGATGAGAGATTTTTCTTCTCAAGAATAGCCCACGGGAAGCCGCAGTACATTTGAATTTCCGAGCCGGGTCAACCTTTCCGTTCCCAGTTTGTACTGTACCTAGCTCTATGGACAGGACTAGCCGGTGCAACAAGGTTGACGTGGTCGTAAAATAATCAAA